TATTTATATATTTATATTTATTAAAAAATTTTATTTAAAAAATTTTAATAAATTATACTTGAAAGCTATAAATTAGTAATAATTATTTTCTGTACAGTTTGAAATTTTACATAAAATATAATTGATGATTGGCTGCGTAAAGCCGTAACAATTACGAATTACAATTCAGGTTGCAGTCCTAATACTCAAAGTTGTAAATATATCGTAATGGTCATAATTGTCATAATGGCGTAATGGTTGTAATTACAATAATCGTTGTAAATTAAATGTAAATAATTGTGTCTTGCACACTGTTATAAAAATGTAATGGCTTAACAAATTAATAAATAATAGTACATGTGAACGAATATCAACTCTACAATCAAATTTTTCAAAGGTTGAGTCTCAAATTGTCAATATCACTAAAATTTCATTAATAGGGTGGCTGCGCTGCGTTGTTACTTGTTAGCATATCTGTTACAACAATTATAACCATTACACTCATTATAACACTTTCAACCCTAGTAAACTTATTATGGCAGCAACCTTAGTTACATCATTAATTTAATTTACAAGATTTAATTTGTAAACTCTTAGCAGTATGCATTTAGAGAGCAATAAAAAAAAAAAGAGCATTTAGGGAGATTAAGATGTTTGACTAGAAACTATAAATGCACTTATGAAGGTAATGCATTTAGAGAAGATACACGATCAAATTTACTACTGCATATTAACAATTGCGTTGTATTATTAGTCGCAAAAACAATCATTGTAATTATAAGTTACAAATTGAAAAAATTATGAGACGTAAAGCCCATTTATTTCTAAACCAGATTAAATTTAACTAAAGATGATTTAACATACATAAGTGCTTTAATATTTATTATATTATTATTTAAACTTCAAAATCGTTATAATTAAAAATAATCTATTCTAAATTTGCAATAATTTAAATATAATAATTATTAAATGAAGTTGTAAATGTTACATAGTGCGATGCTATATTCGCTTCTTGATCTGATTAAAATTTTTATTTGAAAGATTCACACGTAGAAGCTATAAACATATTGATAATAATTAATGATAGTGAAGCATTATAGTTTCACACAAGTTAACATTTCAAGATTGAATTTTAGACCATAGATATTTCATTTATTTGAATTAAACTTCATACTTACACTGATAATTTATTGAATGATTGAATGATTACAATTAACCTCTGTTTTATTGAAATATCAATGTTAAATGAATAGAATTAAACTTCATATTCATGCTGGTAATTTATTGAACGGTTAAATGATTACGATTAACCCACTATTTTCTTAAAAATATCAACGCTAAACCGAACGGAATTAAACTTCATGCTCACAGTGGTAATTTATTGAACGATTAAATTATTACGGTTAACCCTCTATTTTCTTGAAGCATCATGTTAAATTGAATAAAATTAAATTTCATATTCATGCTAGTAATTTATTAAACGATTAAATGATTATAGTTAACCTGCGAACTATCAACTTTAAAACGAATAGAATCAAACTTCATACTCTAGTAATTTATTGAACAATCAAATTATTATGGTTAACACTCTATTTACTTGAAATATCAACGTAAATGAACAGAATTAAACATTATGCACACCCTGGTAATTTATTGAATGACTGAATAATTACGGTTAACCCTTCATTTTCTTGAAATATTAACGTTAAAATTAAACGATCACTAAACAGTTAAACAATTAATGAACAGTTAAACAATTAATAAACGGTTAAACAATTATTAATCGTGTAGCTTATAGTTAAGCGACACTAGCATAATTTCTCAACTTACAGGTTGTATCCGTTTTTATTTTAATACCTATTAATTTTAAGTAAAGTGAATAATTTACAGGACAATTATTTGTATCTTTTACAAATTCATGAGGTTCGAATGCACATTTCGTTTAGTTATCTGCTTTATTTCCATATTAATTTCTAATTTGACCTTTAGAATAGCGGCTTATCGAATTTTCTTGATTAATATATATTTCTGATATATTTAAGGGATTTACGAATCAAAAAGCAAAGATCTATATTTTCCATGATGTGCTTAAGTCGAAACGGAGTTGGGATAAAATCGAAAAAACGCCAATGGTACAAAATTTTACTAAGATAACCTGCTTTAGTCTTTAAATTTAACTTTGGCGTAATTTTATTAGTTAAAATAAGGATATTCGATGGAATAAGATGGGACATCTGGAACGGGACAAGACAAAGCGAAAAAAGCCTTGGGGTCAGAACGTACGTACTGACTGATGATTAAGAAATCCTATTTGTGATATTACTGGGATAGTACCGTGTCGTGATAATACAACGTGCGTTTATTTATAACTATCGGCTAACTATTTATATCCCACTATTGCTTTAATTGGCAATACCCAAAATTGGCATAATTAATTTTAGAAAAGGCCAACGATAAAATTATTCTGTACGTATTAGTACTTATTTGGCTTAAGGTAATTATTTGGGGCTAGAACGGTTTATAAATTTGAACTGTGGGAATACCTTCAAAGTTATATATGTGTACTATTACCACAACCACGTATGCGTATGAAAATAGCTATAAGCCTTTGACGACGATAACGACGATCATGTGTAAAAAGAAACACCAAGTGAGAAGTTACATATAAATAATTTAAGTTTAACTGATCACCCCGTGTGAACGACGGGGCGAGGGATTATACATTTTAGATTAAACAATTTTATTATTGGTTGACTACATCGTGTGAAGGATTAATGTGTAACATTGATGGTTCCTCCTGCTGCAAAAAGATCATTATAAAGTTCTTATCATATTGATCTCTTTTTTCTAAAACGCAATTTTGGTATTTTTTACCTTATTTTTTTTTAACAAAGCAAGATGGTTGTCAGTGACGATGTGAACACCAAAGCCATACAACAGCTTTGAGATAAAGGAATATGAAATGCGAACCAAATTCATAAGCGAACGGATCTCCCAAGGTCCACCATATATTACATTTCCAAACTAAAAGAAAATGGAAGTGTGGCACATCGAAAGCGCAGTGGTCGCCCCACAAAAAACTCTACCAGAATCACCAAGGCCCTTGTACAGCAAGTTAAAAAGAACCCTGCAATATCTACAAGGTCGTTGGCTGTAAATTTACTTCAAAAGGAGGTCCAAGTGTCCTATAGAATCGTTTTGAACTATTTAAACGAGCTTGGGTATAGAAAGGATCGAGCTGAGGCCACACCAATGCTTACAGCGAAACATATTCAAAGGCGCTTAGAGTGGTCAAGGAAATACCTTAACCATGGTTGGAGCTGGACTGTATTTTCTGACGAAACGGCCTTTCAGTTGTTCAGAAATACTGTGGAATATTGGTATAAGGATAAACGTCCTGTACGAAGAATTCCAAAAGACAAAACAAAAATCAAAACATGGGGTGGATTCTATAATAAGGGTAAAACAAGTCTTTTTTGTTTCCGGGAAATAATGGATGGACCGTTTTATGTTAATATCTTAGAAACCCAGTTTCCTGAGGTTCGAAGAATGCTTGGAAGTCGTTGGGAATTTCAGCATGACAACGATCCCAAGCATACAAGTCGTGTTGCAAAGGCGTTCCTGGAAAAAAATGCCCCAAAAGTGATAGATTGGCCTTCTAATAGTCCCGATCTAAATCCTATAGAAAATTTATGAAACATTGTTAAGAGTAATGTCGAAAAACGGTGGCCGCAAAATTTAGATGAATTAGAGCAGTTTATGGAGGAGGAATGGGATAAAATCCAGCAAGGTGTTTTGGAGAACCTTGCGGATCGATGAGAAGACGTTGTGAACTTGTAATTGAAAAAAAGGGGGATCGTGTCTTTTATTAAATTTTTCTTAATAAAATTTTAAAGTTTTTGGCTTTCGAATAAGCCATTGATCACGTGATTTGACGCAGCCGTTGCTGAGTTATTAACCCGTAAATATTTATCACAATATATTCTCTCTTGAAATAAATTTATTTATATCGAATTAACCTTTGCTAATCTCTATGCTTTTTATTTAATTCATATGATTTCGCCGATTTTGTAATGTCACAAAATGATTTACAAAAATTAGCCAATCAGAATGAAATCTGACTGTATAAAATACAATTTCTCGAGTTTAATTTGGAATGAGCCCCTATAAAAATACAAATATCAATTGTAAAAGAAGATATACACGTATTCATGAAAAAATTTCTTCCCATAGAGACAATCGAGATTGTTATTTTTTTCTTGGTGGAATATCTCTGTGTTGGTCGTCTTACAGGACGTGTTAAACCCATACGCACCGTGATCTCGATTCGAAGTTCTTCAAGACTTTTAAGATTTCTCTTCGACCGGTATATGCTTGAATATGGAATTGACATGAAAAAAGTATGGCCATGTGTTTACAGCATTCAAAAATTTCGAACACTTTCCATGGCCATACAGAAAAGAAGATTAGCAGGATTTGTGCGCAAGCACCCGAGATATTTTCAAGAAATAAAGGACTTCGATCCCTCCAACATGACCAGGACGTTGTTGAGCTGGCACTATCCAGTAGAACGAAAAAATGTGGATCTTATTTCTTTTAGGCCAGTACGAGTTCTATTGAACCACATGAAAAATCTAGGTCATGAACCAATCGAAATGGAACCTCATTATACAAGTTATACCAAATTCCCAAAAAAGATAAACATGGTGGTTCTAGTAAGATACAAAATCCCTATACATAAGTACCCCGTGGATTTCTTAGTCATGACAAAGAATCAGGTTTTTGACAGGCGTCTGACTTCCCAATTCTGGTACAGACATTTACACAATCTAAACAACCTACGAGTCATCATTACGTCAAAGGGCATAACACGCAACGCATCCAGATTATTCAAGTTGAATATCTGCGAGGTTTTGAGAAACAAAGAATCTATAAAGATAACCCAATGTTTTAATGATTGTTTGTACCACATATTTCCGTTATAAAAAAAGTTCAGGAGTTTTCCTCCTTTTCAACGAAAAATGTCAAAATTGATCCTTGATATTAATAACATCGATCACACATATAATTTCAAGAATATTCAAGATCGAGATAAAACTGGTCTGCTCAAATTATACTATTATTTAAAAGATCATGATATATCCTGTGATATGATCCTTGATCGCAATGAAACCCTTCTTATTGGATTTTACAACACTATTCCATTTCTCATCATCACTTTATATTCTTTCGTTTTTAACGATATCCTTGCTGAAAAAAAGTTTCAAAAACTATTCTCTTTCCCCAAGTCATTCTTAAAAATATTTTTCTCTCCAGGACAACCTACTGAAGTGATTTTACACCTTTTAAATTCACGTATCACACACCACCGCACAATTCATTGTAAAACGTTCGAGGAAGTTCAAAAAGAATTATTTGTGAGAACCCTTCACAGTACATATTCTTTTCAGCTAAACACGGATTCGGAATTTATGAGCACTACATCTGATATAATTTCGATTATTAAAAAGAAAATCGATGTTGAAAGAATCTACACGTTCAAACACTTAATTCCTTTCGTTGAATACAAAAATGTCGAAATTCCCATCCCGCGATTTCATTATATATTCCAATACAAAACTGTCCTCTTTCTTTTCACCGATCGTTTTCTCGAATCCCGTGAAAAACGTATTAATGCGCTCAAATCGCTCAACTGTTTACTGAAAACTCCATGTTCCCGAGGGATATATGGGATCTTCCTTTACAAGATCGATGATCTGAAGCCTACAGATAGATACATCCCGTTCTACAGAAATGTGTTGTTTCTCGCATATGATGGTAAAGAAATCATGGGTGATGTAAGAAAATTATTTGACGAATTCTGCACACTTGTGATTAACAGAAATAACGGATCAATAATGGTAAGTGCAAGATCATGAATGGGCATGCAACCCGTGATAGTGAGTGGCACCACCCACGTTACCGGCGGCTGGGAGGGACGATCGTTTTGAAGTATCCGGGCGTTGTCTATAATGATTGAGCTTGCGTTCACGTAGCGTTTTCGCTAACATTTTTTTTTCATTTATAGAACGAAGAAGGAGAAACACCGATGGACATGGATAGTGATGATAATCACACCTTAGAATCAACAACACCATCCACGACCGGGCGCAAAAAAAAAAAGATGATCGAGTGGAATTTCACGAACAAAACGTCCCGTATATCAGAATACTCCACAAGCTCAAAGAATAAGAAGAAAGATCCAGATCGTAGTAATGAAGAATCGAAAAAATCAGAATCAGACGATGAAACTCCCGGTTTCAAGATAGTTCCTAGAAACCGTTTTCGAAACGTCATTGATTGATTTACCCCCTTCCGCCCTTATGAAATTTTTTTCTAGGTTTTTTTTTTTCTTTTAAATTCAGAAGATTAATCGTAATGAGCAAATAAACCCGATACACATTATGTGACAAGTGATGTAGTGTAATTCATAAAATATGATCATATTGTTATAATAGGAGGAAACATTAGCGTTACACTTTAATTAAAGCCGGCGACGGATTATATTATTACAATTAATAAAGATCATATAAATAATTTGTGTTGTAATTGATTATATAGACGTAAGGGACTGGGTAGATTTCTTTTCGTTTACTATCATGTGATATAAAATATATATATGGTTTTTATTTATATATAAATAAAATATAAACGGATATCATGTGTGGGATTGCATGTATGTACGTATATATGTGTTGAATAAAGGTAAATTCAATAATATAAATGTTATAGCAATATATATAGTCTTCGGGGTATGGATTCAGTTTGAGATTGGGGTTGTGTATACATAAAGAGAAATTAAATGATAATATGATATATTAATTGTTAGTGTGATTTAGTTTATGGAAGAATTTATAGGCATTATATGCAGTGATTTGTATATTTAAGTGTATAATTTATGTATTTTTTGGATATTTAAAAAATTTGATTTTAATTATCAATATGAAATCTTAAACATTATGGTTTATGGTATGATATAAGTAAATATATATATATATTTTTAATATTAATGATGAGGCCATGTTTCTATCTTTATTGAATATTTAATCAGAGTACAATTCTGTTTTTAAAATATTATAGAAAGAATAGAAGTTTAGACTAATTTATCTGTAATCTAAACCAATCAAAGTGATCAAGACTCACTTAGATTTGAGTATTAGTAATTATATATAGGAGACTAGTTTGATATTTGATCTATTGGATATATTAAGAGTTTATTTTTGAACTAATAGAGTTGAACAAAAGAGGATGTAATAAAGGTAAAACAAAGTTTGACAATAAGTTATGTTCAGAAGTTTGAGTTATAGATTTTGAAATACAGTAGAAAATTCAGATTTTATAATAAATTTGTTGATTAAGATAAAGTAAAAACTTTATAGTAAGTGTTATGATTACTTTTTTAGATAACATATTTGTGATGATATTAATAAGTTCATTTGGTATTAGATCTGTTAGAGTTAAGAAAATCAAAAGTGCATCTGATGAACTGTAAATAGTCATACTATTTAGCAACTTAATTTGGTTACATAAGTTAATTATAGTATTTGGTATAATATCAAATGTGTTAGTGTTGAAAGTATATTTTAGTAAGATATCTATAAGGTTGTATAGTAGTTGGTTAGATAGGCAAATTGTTCAGTAAAGATGATAACTAGTTTGGTAACATTGGTGACAAATTAGTAAGTATGAATAATATTATTTATGTAAAATATGTAGAATAAGAAGATCATTTAGTAGAATTTTAATTTTAAAGAACTTAAAAATAGAAAACTAAAAGTTGTATAAAAAGTTTGAAATTTTTTGATTGTTATTAATATATAGTTAAATAGCTTGTCAATTAATTTGATTAAGAATTTTATACTATTTTTAAAAACAGTTTTGTATTATCTATAATATATAAATATATGTATAACATATTATATGAATACTGTAATAAATAGGTAATTCTAAAGAAAAGTTTTTGAAGTTTAAAGTATATAAAGAGTTGTAAATATTATAAGATATAAAGGTAAAATATAGCAAATTGTGATGATTACATATAAGTTGATCTATAAGATTATTGTATTAATCATTTTGATGTACAGTAACTTTGTGAAAAATAATATAAATATTGTATAACTTAATAAAATTAATAAGTGTATTTCATAATAAGAACTATGATGTATGTATATAAGATAAAGTATAAGTTAAGTTTGAAAGACTATAATATTTAGAGATTACTGATTATAAGTTAATATAATACAATTTCTAGAAGCAGTAATAAGAGCAAATAAGATAGTAGTAAGTTCAAACTTAAATAAACAAGGCCAGTATTTTGTTTAGGCTTGAAATATATATATTACAGCATTGTTTGAGATTTGAGCTCATTTGATACCTATAGAGCATTGTAATATGTCCAGATTAATAACAAAGCTATTTGTATAAAAGTAAAGTTCTAATAGTTATGTATTGTAGTTTATAATTTGTTAAAGATTGTCTATTAAAATATCAGATTCAAAGATAATTAAAATAGAGTATATTGTAATGTTAATATTAGGAGAATTAGAAATTTAAATAAGATATCAAATTGCAATAGAGTATATGTAGTCAAAATGATTAGCATTAAAATTAAGACTTTTGTTGTATATATTAATTTGACTAAAAAATTTTGTAAAGAGATTAATAAGAATGTTAATTATATATTTATTAGCAATTATGTAAGAGTTAAAAAAGCAATCTGAACATACTTGTGATTAAATTGGTAGAAGAAAATAGAGACAAATAAATTGTGATTTTATATAGTATTATTAATAAGTAATAAGAATAGTTTCTAATACAAAAGGTTGTCTTCGAACTTTATTAATAATGATTTGATTATTAAGTACTATAATGAGCTATAGTTTTTTATATAAAAAGAAATATTCAGTTAAATAACTATAGTAATTAGTACTAGGTAAGTATAAGTATTAATAAAGAATACAATTATATAAATAGCTTATAATTTAGTTTTCTAGATAACTAAACTAGAATAGTAGTTTGCTTTTAAGAATTTTGTTTATATATAGAAATATATGATTTCAGTCTAGAAGACATGAGTTGTTAAATATAATAAGTTGGTCTAAGTAGAGAATATAGTGATATCTAAGTTGTTTTTTAAATATTGAGTATTTGGTATATGATAAAAGTATTGACTCAAGTGGAATAGATCTTTCTTGAATAATATATAAAATATTGTATAATAGATTAGATGCAAACATTATATCAAGATGTTTAAAGAGTTAAATAATTTTAAAGTTAACAGTGTGTTTATTAGACTCATCAATAATAGGATTGTTATATATCAGAATACTAGTAGATAATTACAAGTTATTCTGAAATTATTGAATCCTAATATGAGTACTTATTCTTAAAAGATCAAAAAAATTAAGTCTTTTAGTAAAGTTGTAATATAATGTTATAGTTGAATATTCCATATATTATAAATATTATATAATTAAGAATAAAGTAGTATACTAGTAAAAATTGTGTAATAAGTTTAGCTTTGTTTTTAACAAGTTTTATATGACTTGTAAAAATTTTTTCATATGTACTGTATTTTGATTAAAAACAATGTTATGAAGTTGATATTCTATTGTAGAAATTATAACAATATTGATAATATATCATGCATATATATTAGTAATTTATTTAGTGCTTACAATTTTGATAAGATGTGATGATTTTGTTATGATAAGTTTGGTTTGTTTAGTTAGTTTATTGTTAAGTATAAACCAGCATCCAAGAAATTTAAATAGTTTATTTGATAGATAAAGATTAAAAAGATGGTTGTTGTATATAATAAAATTATAATTAGTTTGTTTTTTATTAGTTATAAGTATAGATTTAAAAGGGTATAAGTAAATATATTAAAAAAATAAAATATGACAAGAGAATAAAAAACATTTAACAAAAGTTTTGTAACTTATTATTGTATATTATTTGTAATCTTTTATATTCATTTAAAGCAGTTTTGTAACATTTTATATAATTTTCATCAAAGTTTAGAATGTGAAGGTTTTCTCATAAAGTTGCTCTACTCAGTACTACATATGTTTGTCCTTCTGCAAATATATTTTTGTCAATACTTGTTGTAACATGTAATAGAGTTAGTCCTTATACTTTGTAAATAATAAGTGCAAAGACATTCTGAAACAAAAATTGTCATTTAGAAGCCAGTATATCATTTATTTCAAAATAACAATTTCTTTTTTAACTATAATTTTATTTATGTTTGTAAAAGTTGAAAAAGTTATTTTAATATTTTTGATATTGATAATTTTTGTTATAATTCCAATCAATCTATTGCAAATGTTTTTGTTAAATAATTTATTATTCAAGAACATTATATAGTTACCTTTTTGTAGATGAACTGATTTAAATAGGTTTGTTGAGTACTTGAATTGATAAATTGAATATGATTTATCTAATAGTTCAAAATTAAAAGTATCTTTAGATAAAGAGATAATTAGATTATTGCAGATTTCATTAAAGGATAAGAAGTTGCAAAGCAAAGAGTTAATCTTATAAGCAGCTTAATAAATACCAACTATATAAGTAGTGTTGTAAAGTTTGTTGAAGTTGATTTTAGAAATGATTTTTAATTAGATTGCAAGTTTGATCTTGTTAAAGAGATATCCTATTTAAATTTTTTGTAGAATGTTGTAAAAGTCAATATTGTTATATTGTCATTAGGATGTAGTCAAAAATAAGTAAAAGAATTTTTTCTATACAGGTAATTAGAAGATATAATATGGCCAAACTGGAGGTAGTTGAGCTAAGTTACTTATTAATAAAGTTGGTATACCTTTGAATATGGTATTTTTATTATGAATTTTAGTAAACATATTACTAATAAAAGTTAATAAATTACTATCAACTATTAAAATTTTTTTAATCAAATAGTTTATATATTTTTTAGATCAGATACAATAGTAAGATCTAAAAGAATTAAGAATTTATAATATTTATTATAGTATCTAATTTTTAAAGCAAAGTGACTAGATTTTTTAACATTTTAAGTAGCAACTTTAGTAGAGACAAATAATAGGTATTGTTTTTTTTGATTGAAAAAATGGATTATTTGAAATAATATAAAGGTTTTATCAGTTTTTATAAAATCTATTAAAAAAAAATAAGGATATATATTTTCTTGTAATTTACCTTATATATTACAAAGAGTATTATAAATTCTATATTATTCAGTACTAAGGATTAGAGAAAATTTAGTATTAAGTTGAGGTTAATATTTTTTCTAATAAGAGTAATTGAGTAAGGATTAGGTCTGAT